CTTTGATTTTACTTCTTTTTTTATTTTGTTTTGACATTTTTCTTATTTTTAATTGCTAACCTTTTAATTATTTTTATTATTAACAATTAACTTAATTAACATATTTTCATAAAAATCAAAAAAATAGAATTACATTATTATTATTATTATTATTTTATTTTGTAAATAAACATTAACTAAAATAGTTTAATTAGGCCATTTTAATTCCTTTTCTTAAAAAATTAAAATAAATCTAGAATTAGGTAAAAGTTAACTTTTAATTTTATTCCATTTCTTTTATTTCATAAAAATACAAAAAACAAAAAATATTTTCTTTTAATTAAATTAATTAATTAGTCATTAGTTAGTTTTAATTTCACTTTAATTACAAAAAAGACAAAAAAAATCAATTTCTTTTCTAAAAGGGTCAACACCCTTAAGACATTCCCGATTCTTCTTTCGCGCGCATTTTAATTTTAATTCCTTATTTTGGATTATTATGTAATTGCCTCCGGATGTAATAGTAATTTGGACTTTTACTGTTTTTATTTACTTTCCGTACTTATTTACCAAAAACGGGTCTTAGTAATTTTTGGCGATGTATAGACCCGCGCCTTGTAATAGCGTAGGATTTATGTTTCCGCAATTTACTTTCTGCAATTTACTTTCCGCACCCCCTTAACTGCTAAGCTTGCATGAAAGAATGTATGTAAATAAAAACAACTCGTAGCTCACTAATTACAAAGACAAACATTAACTGAATACAACACACAAAACACACACCAGTTCTAGGGTACGCCTCACTTGTTGCCTTCGAAACGTGGTCGTCAAGTATAGGACGTTTTAGCGGTCCTTATGTCCATGATCCAGTTGCCTCGAAACAGTTGCCTCGAAACGGTTGCCTCGGATTAAAAAAAGATCAAGGACATAAGGGTAGCCTCTAAGGTGTCTTACTGTTGCTTCGGTGACCACACTGTCCCTACAATCGAATTGACCCGAACACCTCCAACGGTGGTGCTACCTACCTCTCAATGGTGGGATGGCACTACCTAAAGGGCACTTACACAGATTAATTCCTTAGGGTAGGTAGATAACTCATGGGTACTTGCTCTTTTCAAAAAACAAACAAAATACTTTTCACACCTTACACTTTCAAAAGCTTTCAAAACAAATTTTTCAAACACTCTTGAGGACAAATACAAGAGTTATTCAGAAATCTTTCAAAGAAACTTTTTCAAACCCACTCACATTTGAAAAGCAAACATCTTTTGAAAACATAAGAGCAAGTATCTAAGAGCCCATGGATAACCATGGATAGAAAGGGTACTAACACCTTCCCTTTCTATAAATCTACCTCCCGAACCGAGAACATTCTCGAATAAGGAATTTTGCTGTGCTTTTGTCCTTTCCATGTTGGAGAACATAAAAGACGGTGGCGACTCTTGCTTACCGCGACATTTCACGAAACCAGCTTAAAAAACAGTCTGTTCTATTTCCACCGACCACAATTAGGCAAACCATTTTTTCAACTATACCTCGGGGTCCATTCCGGTCCCTTAATTTTTCAAATATCCAAATCAATCCTTTAACTATTAAAATGGTGGCAAATGAGTCATTTCCGTCTATTTCATGCAATTGTCTGTTTATTAGTGTATGTGTGGCAACTGACTTGACATTTGAACTTCATCTTTGTTAAGTTGATTAAGTTATACAGGGTGTGCGTCTCAAAATCAAATTAGGGGGTTAGGGTTTTTTCTAAAATTGTTCACGATTTTCATAAATTAAAGGTTAGGATTGGAGCGATCATTAAATCTGACTGTTGTTCATCCTCCATGAAACAGAAAAGCTATGAAAGTTTGAACTCCAATGGGTTCACGAGTTTGAATCTGCCATGGAAACCCTTTTTCCTTTGTGGAGACAAAGTTATTCTTCATAAGGAAACGACTTCCAAGAGTTATGGAAAATATTTTTGGGGTTGTCCTCATTTTAAGGTATGCATGTTTTATGTTAAAATCGACCGTACGCTAATTCCAGTTTGAGATTCCATTGTTTGAAATTAAATCTATGTAAATTTTGGGGATCTTTACAACCTGGGTGTGGGTATTTCAAATGGCTTTATGAGGATGTTGAAGATGAGAAATGGAAAATTATGATTTTTAGGTTGGAAAAGTTAGTAAAGAAAATGAATGATTTAAAAGTGGAGTTTGAAAATGCTAGATTGACAAGTGAAGAATTAAGTAAAGAGTTGATTGAACTTCAAAGTCATATGAACAAGATCTCGAAGTGGACTAAATTTTGGAATATGATGTGTTTTGTAATTTTGTTTGTACTGGTTTTTTCCATGTATTAAGATTATGTACTGTCTTGGGATGTATTAGTTGATTTCCATGTTTGAATCAGTTAAATATTTTGGTATGTATCAATTGAATTTATTAGTATGACATCATTGTAATATACTCTATATTTTGGTATCTCTCAATTTAATTTGATTCCTACTAGATTGATTATATACCAGTTTCTAAATTTTGGCATTATACTAAAGTGACTTTTATACCATTTTATACATCAGTTTATATTCCAATTTATATAATAGTTTATATACAAGTTTATAAACTAGTTTCTAAATTTTGGCATTGTTTCTATACCAATTAAATTTGACTTATACTGAAGTGAATTATAGTTCTCCAAATAAATTGAATTGAAAGTAATACATAATTGACAATAACACGTAATTGACATTAATAGATAATCATGTTCAACACACATGTAAACATTGTTATAGTAAGAAAGCTTCTAAGCAATTTTTTGTTTTGATGATAACAGTCATATATTTTGTGAGTAATAATTTTAGTACTACAAATGATGTTATTGAGTGTGCAGATCTAATAACAAGAAACGTTCTATAAAAGAGCTTGTGCAAATATAAGTTTAGAAAGCTGAAGATACAAGAATCATAAAGCTTCTACAACTGAAGTTGTCTCACAGATAAGCTGCTGCCTATACATCTGAAGACATGATCATCCATCACAAAGATTCTAACACCTTGACCAAAATAGATAAAGAATCAAAAGTAGAAAGAAACTGGAAGAATACATTCTTAACATTTTTGTCTCGCTGATCAAAAATATAAACATGCTTTCAAGGAGAAATCACATATCAAAATAAAAGCATTATATTTCAGATAAGTTGGTGCCTATAGCTCTGAAAACAAGACGTGTTCCTAAAGTTCAATCCAGTGTTTCTACGCTATATTAAATCAGTAGTTTCTGAACTACTCATCAAAAGAACAAGACAAGCAATAAATCTCGAGCTCAGTACTCCAGAAGCAAAAATAACATCTTCAGGAGAAATCAAGTTCTATACATAAACAAGCTAAATAAAGATCAGAAAAGTTCATATATATCTTTAATAGTGATCTAATCAAAACTAGACAATGATCATAGTTTCCGAGGAAAACAATAATAATAATTCTCAGCTATATCTTGGATAAAAAAAAGATCACGCCTTTTACACAGTAATCATTACAAAAGGTAGATTTGTATTGAAAACATATCAGTTGAAAAATACACGTTATAATGCATTACATGCTAACCTGAAAAGAAATCATAACCTATCTCAACTATTTCTCTTGGGAAATGGAGAAAAATGAAGAACCGTTACTTTACAGCAAAACTCGTTTTTCAAACTGCTTCAACGGTATTATTCTCTAAAAGCTATATAAAGAGAGATATACAAATTGAAGAAGGGTGGAACAAAAACACCAAGAACCTCATATGAACACCACATCAAAAAGTAACTTAGAAACAAAATATTTACATTGAGTTGTTGCTCGATAGAGCAATAATTTTACTAAGTATTATTAGTGTGTCATAAGCTTTTTAGAAGCAATTTTTTCATCTAAACTTAGTTCCAAAAATATTGTCAATCACATAGAAAATCATCACAACACAAGAAAGAATGAAGGATTAACAAGCAATAAGAAACACGAGTCGATACTCATGTCTTGATCATTGAAGAATGAAGTTGAAGATCTCAACAAGATGTTATTCAAAACATAAATCAAATGCATCTTAAGAGAAATCATAGAAGAAGCAAGAAGTTGTTGTTTTGGCTTGATCAACAAAGAAGATGAAGATAAGAAGACTACATGATGTTGCACTCAATCTCCATAAACTTTCAATCTTGTATAAACATTCAAAACACAAGAGTTGTTGCTCTGATTGTGTTATTTCTTAGAAACCTTCATGTAAATTGTTTTAGACAAGGAGTTGTTGCTCAAAAGCTTGTCAAAATAATATGTACTCTAAGTAGGAGAAATATGCTTGATAAGAAGCATTCTTGTAAATCTCCAGAAAAATGATTTTTTCTAGAATTGGTGTTTCCTCAAGTGACTTTCTAGTCTGTATACTTGAGAGGGCTAAGAGGTCTTTCGAGACTCTTAGAAGTTGCTGTAATCTTTCAAGATTAGTGGATTAAGTCCTTTTCTAAAGCAAAATCACCTGAGGAGGGTGAACAAGATGTAACCTTAGTGGAGAAGGTGAACTTGTATAGAAATGGATGTGTTCTTTACTGCTATTAGTTTCTACATGCTCAAAGGCTTTCGCAAACTCTTTAGAAAGAGAAAAAATTTCTATCAACATAATTCAAACTCCCTTTCTTGTGTTTTTCTCCACCTTCAAACACATATCATAAGAGAAAATAATTATGGAAGGAGAAAGTGAACATGATTACATACCTTCAAATGTTTAAGATCATTATAACTTCTAATTCCAAAACCAAAGCCTATGCTTAAAACATCAAACCACATCCATGAATTCAACACATTTGCAAAATTTTGTTCATTACAAGTTCAAGAACCATTACATATTCAACATCATTTTTCAAATCTATACCATTATAAATACATGGAAACCATTACAATTTTGATCCTAAGTTTTATCTTGGTCCCGTTCTTCATGTCTTCACCAAACTTCCAAATCTTCCATGACTTCACATTCAAAAATTCAAACCTGCATCACACTTCAAGAGAATACACAAAACCTGTAATAAACAATTCAAGCATCAACACCCTGTCATTTCGTCCAACACAATTCAACAGTTCATTTCATCATGTACATAACCATCACTAAAATAATTCTCATTAACTAGTTCTCAAACTAACATTTAGACTATAACCCTTTTTTTCTAACAGTTTTTAACAAACCAATTTCGAACCTGCCTTATTTTACTAACAAAACTCTTCCTGTTCAAACATTTAAAACTAACTACACTAACACAAAATAAAGAGAAATATCATAACAAAATCCAGCTCAGCATATCAGGCAAAAATCAGTATAATACATGTACATGAGAAGCTTTTCTAGAAGAACACATGAGACAAAAATGACAGCTCACAAAATCTCACAAAACCTCTAATGACTCTCATTTATCACCCAACAATACCCACAATCACACAGCAAAATACACAGGAAAATCTCACAGCAAAAATATCTGAAACTTTAAATCTCTCTATTTCGGAAAACTACAAAAATTCACAGAAAGATGTGAGAACTCACCTTGAATAATTCTTCACGTTCAGAAGAATCACACCACAAAAATTCACAGAAAACTCTCTCATCTCTCTGTTTCTACTCTTCGAATTCTTTCTGAGTTCACTCTTCAATTTTCTCTCGGCAATAATTGCTTCAATCATCTTCTCTGAATCATGACCGCTGCAAGCATCGTCATCTCGCACTTGTAACAACGCATACCACCGCAACAAACACTGTGTCTTCACTGAACATCACAATTTGCAATTCAGATTAATAATTGAAAACATGGAAAAATACGAGTTGAAAGAAGAGAAGAAGATGAAGCAGAACGAAGACGCGTAGGTACGAAGAAGAACGAGCGAGAGATCGCGAATTGTTACCTGAGTTTCTCACTATTGATGTTGTTTTCTCCATCGGAGCGTCTCCGATCGGTAAAGTATACTCATCCTTCTATGATTGCTAATTTCCTTTGTGTTAATCTATGAAAATATTGGTGGTGCTGTGAGCGTTTGAGACTTCGGCACGAAGCGGAGACAGAGCGTTGGCGAGGATGAGCGAATTAACGAAGCTGTGCAGTCGGAATCGGAGCCAGAATCATACGAAGTTGTCATCAGTTGGTGGCTTGCGGCGGAGAGGAGAAGGACGGAGACGAAGCATCACGTAAAGAGAAGAAAAAGTCTCTCGTATATCTTCATCAGGATTTCACAAACTCTGAACCCTTTCCAAACGACACCATTCTTTTTTTAATTTTTTATTTCACTTTTTTTTTAATCCTTTTTTTTAATAGGTTGAATAATAATAATAAAATCTGAAAATAAAAATGGATGTTGGATTGTTGGGCCCTGAACCGATTTGCTCCATGTTAATCCCAGTTATTTTTTGGGAGCCTAAAAGTCTTGCATACAACTCTTCTTGAACTCTTTCTGACTGGGCCTTACGCCCAGGCCCCACTGCTGACTGCACGCCTGATTGTTGGCCACACCCCCCGGGCATTTTTTTTTTTAATTTCTTGTTATTTGTTTGATTTTTATTAATTGTTTAGAATTGCTAACATTTTCTTTATATGATAAATTGAGAAAAATGATACACAAAATATTACAATTTTTTTTTATTGTTGATTGTAGCTTTGTGATTACCATGTTTTCTTAGGATTATTAATTTGATTTTAATCTCTTGATTAAATTGAATTAGTTAGACCTTAGGCCTTTAATCCAAGTATGACAACAATTAGTTAGAATTTCCTTCTCAATCCCGACTTTAGGACCATTTTACACGACAACATTAGGACTTCAAGTCTCCCTTAGATTTTTCTTTTCCCTTTTGCATTCATTTAAAAACTAAAATTTCTTTTTCTTTATCAAACTCCAAAATACTTAACAATAATGATGAGAACCATGTGTCACGAGTCTTAAGCACGTCTGGAGCACTCTGGATACGAGGTGTCTGACTCGACCATCCAAAGTCTCTCATGTCATAGTCTTTAATGTGGTTCAAATCACCAAATTCTTTTTCAAGGTAAAAAAGACTCAACCAATCAAAATCTCTTTTGCCTTCGAGCTTTTCTTTTGAAAATCTTTTCACAAAAAGGATGTGTTATTTCCACTATGCACAAAACGATGCAGAAGTTTCTAAAGGTCGGACTGCAATATGTCAACTGCTAGAGCGTGAATGTAACATTATCCGTCTAAAAAATACAAAACAAACCAAAACACCTTTTCAGGTGAACCACGAGTGCCCTAATCTCTCATTTCACGAAGAGGGTACGTAGGCACAAAGGTACATAACCGTGGCGGGCGCATAATAAATTTTTCTTTTTTTGTATATATACTTTGCATTCATGCATTTTCCCTTAGCTTCTAAGCTTTAGATTTGACACACCCTTTTGATTAGAACAACAAGAGTGGACCCCGTAGAGTACCACAGGCGTGAGGTGTGACACCCCAAATAATCTGATTATTAAATAATTAGAATTTTTAATTATTAATTTAATTGGAAATTTAATTATTGGTATTTTTGGATTATTGGAATTAATTTAATTAATTAAAGGAAAGAAGTATTGGTGGTGTGAAGAGTGATTAGAGGGTGTGAGGGATAAAATACTCTACTCTTATTAATTACTAATTTAATTATTTTATTGGAATAATAAAAGGAGTATTAAAAGGAAAAAGAAGGGAAAGAGAGTTATTTTGGAATATTCATCATACGTGCATTTGAGAAGAGGAAAAAGAAGGAGAAAACCGGAAGCGTCAGAATTCGAAGAACCCACAAGGTAAGGGGTGATTTCGATTAGTTAATTCGCATTATCGGTTTAGATATTCAATAGTATGGATCATAGTATGTTAGGGAATCCCGGTTTGGAATTCTAGGGTTCCGTAGAATTGTCCCTATTGCATCGAATTGTAGGTTGAAAACCATTAGGGTGTCAGATGATAAAAAAGAATGATGAAATAATGTCGTTTGATGTTATAATGGTGCAAAATGGATGTGTTTTGGTGTTTCTCATGTTACAATTTGTATGAGTATGTTTGGAATTGGTTTAGAATGAATAAATGCTGTCAAAAGTGCAGAATTTGACTTTGCAGGTCGTGAGAACTGGTTCCCAGTGGGGAGGAACCGTGTTCCACTGTGTGAATTTATAAAAACTGGCAAAAATGTACGTAGGAATCGGTTCCTGTATAGGTAGGAACCGGATTCCCATACATTTTTCCAGAAGCGTGATTTTTGAACTTCGCAGGAACCGGTTCCTGCATATGTAGGAACCGGGTTCTGCTGTAACTTTTTGAAAAATATTAAACTTTGAAAATTCATAACTTTCAAACCGTAAGTCCGTTTTGAGTGCCGTTTTGGACGTTATTTCTTAAATTTAATGCTCTATTTTATAAAATGAAAAGATTTCCTAAAACCTGAAATTATTTTGAAAATGAGTCAAATCCCGAAATAAGTGATTATTGGCTAACGCACATGGGTGTGTATGTAGCAGTGAACCTGTGATGGATGGATGTATTAGTATTGTATGAATGAAAGGCATGTTTATGTTGCTAATGATGGTGCGCATGATCGTTGAGATATCATGTTTTTGGTTTTGGTTTAGTTATGATAAATTGATGTATTTCATAGACTGATTTGATGTTGCATGCTAGTGATGTGCGTGCATATGCATTGTTTTGGTGAAGTTAATTCCCATTGTGTGGAATTTGACTTGTATTGTCGTTAACCGATACCCGGGTGATGATGGGTGGTTAGGCTGGATTCGTGTCCGGGTGTTTATGGACGAATCGATGGTTGTTGTATCCGGTTGATGATGGATCAGTGTTGGGTGACTTGGTCACGTGTTGGTACCACATGCATTGTGTCTGCATTTATGTTTGCATGGAATTGTAACATGTTAGGATGTCTTCCAGTGTTACAATTCTTTGATTGATTATTGATTTGTGCATAATGACTTGTATGATTGGAACTGCGTGTTGAATCTGAATTTATGCTAAAATGGGTGAAATAATATGCTTGTGATATAATGTTGATTGAGAAGCTTATAATACATGTTAATTATGAGAAATCTCACCCTTACTTTAACAATTTCAGATTAAAGTTAGCAGCTCAGGAGTTGGTGAGGATGGCTCTAGAGCTATGTTACTTTAAGTCCGCGTGTCAGTGTCGTGCTCTGATAGGTTGTAACATTGGGGAACGCTTAGTTGAGGAATTAGTTATTATTCAATTGTTTCTTTGAATTTCATTGGGAATAATTATGTTTTGGTTTATTCCATTTTGGTTATGGTATTTTTCCGCTGTGTAAGACATGGTCTTAATTTGATTGAATGATTTGAATAATGACCCTCAGTGTAGCATGACTACTGTTTTATTGGAAGTTTTATTTATTTCATAATTGTGACATCCCTTGTTCCGTGTTAACTCTGATGGAACATGTCTTTAATCATTGATATAATTAATATTATTCGGGGTATTTTAGAAGGGGTGTTACAATAGTGGTATCAGAGCATAGTCGGTCTTGTCTTGTGTCGTTATCCCTTTTGTATGCGGTTAGTGTAATATGACACTATCGATACTTGTGTGCTGCTGAGGTTGTTTTGTAATGTTACAAGAATAATGGCCGGAAGAGGTAACGGAAGAAACGACGATGCTATTGCTGAAGCATTGGGAATGTTGGCTGGAGTACTCGGAGGGAACCAACAGGGAGCTGTGATTGGTGTTGACTGACAATTGGAGAATTTTCAGAGGAGTAATCCTCTGTTGTTCAAGGGTGAACATGATCCCAAAGGTGCTCAGAAGTGGTTGAAGGAGATCGAGAGGATCTTCAGAGTAATTGACTGTGCTGAAGGGCTGAAGGTGAGATACAGAACTCACATGTTAGCAGAGGAAGTTGATGACTGGTGGGTTGCTACCAGAACTGAAATGGAAGAAGATGGTATTGCGTTGACTTAGGCTGTGTTCAGGAGGGCTTTTCTGAGGAGGTACTTTCCTGAGGACATCAGAGGCAAGAAGGAGATTGAGTTTCTGGAACTCAAGCAGGGTAACAAGACTGTCAGTGAGTATGCTTCGAAGTTTACTGAGTTAGTGAAGTATTAGGCTCATTATACTAACGATGCAGATGGAGAATTTTCCAAATGTATCAAGTTTGAGAATGGTCTTCGTGATGAGATTAAGCAGGGTATTCGGTATCAGCGTATCCAAAGATTTCCTGATCTGATTGAATGTAGTGGGATTTTAGAGGAGGATCTTGCTAGCACTAAGTCGAATGCTCGAGGGTATGTTGATAGGAAGGGTAAGCAACAGATGGATCATGGTAAGCCTTATGATAAAAGTAATCAGAGACCCGGTGGTTGGAAGAAGTTTGGTGGAGGAGATTCTAGTTCTTCCATTAAGTGCTACAAGTGTGGTGAGACAGGACATCGTATGGTGGATTGCAAAAGTAATGATAAGAAGTGTTTCAAGTGTGGGAAACTCGGCCATGTGGCCAATGATTGCAGAGTAAGAGTGGTGACTTGTTACAACTATGGTGAAGAAGGTCATACTCGTCCTCAATGTACAAAACCCAAGAAGGAGCAAGCTGGTGGTAAAGTGTTTGCATTGTCTGGGTCAGAGACTAAGCCAGATGATCGGCTGATTAAAGGTACATGTTTTATTAATGACATACCTTTGATTGCAGTTATTGATACTGGAGCTACGCATTCTTTTATTGCTTTGGATTGTGCTAAAAGATTGAATTTGGAAATTTCTAATATGGATGGAAGTATGGTTATTGATACTCCTGCGTCGGGTTCAGTGACTACTTCGTATGTTTGTAGGAATTGTCCTATTGTGATTTTTGGTAGGGGTTTCAGTATGGATTTAGTGTGCCTACCGTTAGAACAACTTGATATCATCCTTGGAATGAACTGGTTGGAATTCAACCAGGT